GTGTATGTAGAGACTAAAGAGTTTTGAGTTTTGAGTTGCTTCGTTTAAGGTAAGTTTTTGTTAATAAAATAGTTTAGAATAGTAATTAGTTCACGGACCGAGACGAATTAAAATTCATGTTTCATCGGTAGATATTTTAAAAAAAATCTACGTTACCTTCAACTTTGCTTAAAATCAATATCTTTGGCCTCCAGGTATGTTTCCCTGGGTATGCATAGCGACTCTGCCGATCTTCTGCGACCTGTCCTGGCCGCGACCTCTCCTCTCGTCGTTCCAGAAATTCCTCCTTCCTCTCAGAACCTTCCACGACAGGTTTATACCCTCCAGACAGAGTAGTGACGAGGGGCCTTCAACAGACGACGACGCCACGACTTACAGTTGGTCGTCCATCTCTCGCCAGGAGAAGATCAGACTCTACACCTCCCAGAAACTGAACAAGGAAGAGAAGTTCGTCTCAGCGAAAGATACAAGTGTCGGGAGTAATATTAGTGATCAAATGACATCTATAACCAGTACAGAGAGGTCGAATGTTGAAGAGATGGAGCAGGGGGATAAACAGACAACGAAGGTAGAAGAGGAGAAGAATTCGGGAGGAAGAGAAAGGGAGATAAAGGAAGAACAAAAAGACACGCTAAGAACTCTCCAAAGAAATCGGACTTGTGTTTATTCAGGTATGAAAATCTGTTTACTGTTTTTGTTTCTGCGCTTAAAGTTCACTGACGTAAAAAAATGGTTATGGTTATGAAAATTTGTATTTTGTTAAGCCATTGGTCTAGTTAATTTATACAAAAATTGAATTTTATATGAATTACAGAGAAAAAGATACACGAATAACGAAACAAATATCAAGCGAATAAACATTTTTTTTTTTTTAATTTCAGACGATGACCAAGAAGTAACTATGAGACAAAAGGTGACGAGCGTGTTAGTTGTAGCTTACCTGTGTCTTCAGCTGTTTCTGCCCTTCTCTCATTTCATCACCAAGGTACATGCATTCACAAGGTCACACACTTACAGACATGCGCGCACATGTGTATATATGATATATTTTGGGTACCACGTTGCATATTCATGTCAAGAAGTGGAATACATAAAATATACCTCACATTTACATCAAGAAATAGATTATATTGACTATACCTCGCATTCATGTAAAAAAAGATATTAGATATACCTCATTTTCATTTCAGAAAACCAAATATATTAAATATACTTAACGTTCATATCAAGAAACAGATTATACTAAATATTCCTCATACTCCTATCAAGAAATAGAATATAATGGTATTGAATATTCCCTCTAGTTTTTTTTTTTCTTACCACTCTCCATTAACACAGGGATACAATACCTGGACTGACGGCCCATATGGCTACAGCTGGGACATGATGGTACACTCCTGGGACACTCTCCACGTCAAGATCACAGTAGTCAAGCTGGACACCGGAAAGAAGTTCTATATTGATCCTAATGTACGTAAAGTTGTGTGTGTGTGTTTGCGAGACTCTGCGTTGCGTGTGTTAGATATATCAGTCGGTGAGATGAGAACTCCGTGAGAACTTTTTGTTTATTTCTTGAGTATCTTGTGATAGGTTTTATGAATAAGGAAGTATTTTGTTTTCTTAAGTACTTTCTTGATGGGCTTTGGTAAGAGTGGGACTTGACGGTAAATGTAGAAAAGGAATGTATGAGAATGAAGCTTCAACAGAGTTTCGATCATATCGGATGAGGTTATAATCAAAACCCATCAAATACATATCTTCCTGCTGTGATATTCCTTCTTTAAAACACCGTCTTGTCAAAACCTACTTCACAAACTGGATAACCCCCAAAACACAGACGCGAACTGCACGTAAAGCTAATCCTCCCCCCCCACAATAAACTCCCTGTTCAAAGGTGTACGTCAACAACGGCCGATGGACCAGCCACGTGGATATGGCGGTGCAGTATGGGCGTTGTATAGAGAGCCGTCTTCGTGGCCACGGATACGCCAACATTTCCCTGCATTTCGACGTCTGGAGGTCACTGAATAAGAGGTTCCAGCAGCGGGTTTACGATCCTAGTGTGGATATTCTTACAGCTCCTTGGTCACCGTGGGAAAAGGTTAGCTACCTGTGTTGTTACTTTTTTCTTTGTTTTCACTTCTTTTTGGGGGGAGGGGGTTTGTTAAGACTGAGATACTGAATTTCGATAAGGTTTGTCTTTTCATATTCTTTTGTAAGACTGTCTACTGATACTGAATTTCGATAATGACTGAGATAAACTACATCAGGCCACATTACTTCCTGTTTCAGACTCCGTGGGTGTTGCCCGTGCTAGTCGAGCTAAGTCAGTGGCGTGATAAACTCAGAGAGCTTCAGGAAGGACAAACCTCACCTTATTCAGACAGGATATTTGTAGCAGATTTTCCCGGTGAGTGAAGTCAGTTCATGTCATATATATTGAAATGATAAGTATATGTAATAAATTTAATACATCCGTGCTTGAATGTCTGAGAGTAATACATTTCGATTGATAACCTGACTGTTAATTCACCTGAACTGAACTTGCTTCCTACATCAGGGTAAAGTTTTGTTAAATCATCCTTTCAGTGTAGAATCGTAATTTCTTTTTACGTCTTCCAGGCATGATGCTGGAAAACTTTCTCAGTGAAGATCTTTCCAACGTTACGATAGAGGTTCTCCACGGGGAGGTGAGAGTTCTTGTGCCGGTCGTGGCAGGTGGGTCCGCCTCGGTTGACCTCGAGGAGGGCGAGGAAGAGGCGGAGGAGCTCACACAGAATGAAGCCTGGAAAGTGGTACACCTAAACAACACGGCAGCAATCGCGAATGACAGCTGCCACTCACTGAAAGGCGAAGAAAATTTCCTCACTTATGGAGGTTGTTTCCCCAAGGATTCGGACAAAGACAAAGATTTAAAAGTTCGATCCGTGGTTCTCCGCGCGGGCGAATCAATGGCCCTTCCCAGCGGCACTTTTCACTCTGTCATCACCACTTCGCCGACGCCTTCCTCGTACATGTATACCTTCGTCAATACAACCATACAAAAGCAAATCACCGGTAACGCTAACAATGACCGCCCAGGTACCCCTAAACCTACAGACATGTGTAGTAATCACATCACCGAGAATTATTTCACACGTACGAGCAAGAAAACCACGTTGGCATCGGAATCCAAAGACTGTGAAACCAAACTGGACGAAACGAAGCCACCAATCCACACACCCGATGGAGACAAGAACGTGCAGTCTTACCAGCTCGAGACAGGGGCGAGCGGGATGGCCTGTGGCGCGCCGACGGTCTTGGACTTCGTGAAGTTTGTGAGGCTGAAACTTGCCTCTTTCTACAGGAGTGCCAGGCTGCTGCGAGACGCCTGCAGGTATATCGTTGCGGGAATCCCCATGGATGTAGCAAGGTAATATACGAACAAGATTCTCAAGAGAGAGAGAGGGAGAGAGAAAGAGGGAGAGGGAGAGGGAGAAGGAGAGAGAGAGAGAGAGAGAGAGAGAGAGAGAGAGAGAGAGGGAGAGGGAGAGGGAGAGGGGGAGGGAGAGGGAGGAGAGAGAGCGAGGGAGTAGGAGAGGGAGAGGGAGAGTGAGAGTAAGAGAAAGAAAGAAAGAAAGAGAAAAATATAAATTTATAATGACAAGAACACGAAGAAGAATAAAATATAAACCCAGAAAATGTAAGCGCCATGGCTTGTAAAGAAGAAAGGTATATATTCACCCATTTTCATTCCATTTTGATATTTCTAAAATTCCCTCTTGAATAGTTAATGGTTAAAAAGCAAATAAATGTGCTAGACATCAAAAGTCCTGTCGAACCATAGGAAGGTATAGTAGTGAAAAGCGCAATGGGAAAGTTACCGAGTTAATGATTAAATGTACTAAACCTAAAAAGTATACTACTTTATGATAGTATTGAGGAAGGCAAAGACGGTGAGTAAATTGGGTAAGGCAAGGATTAACAACAAGGGAAAGGGGGGAGGGGGAGTTAAGGGCAGTTATATCAGGTGGAGGATATAGGTTTGTGAGAATGGAAACAGCGAATATTCCATACTTATTGTTATTATTATTACTAATATTATCATTTCTATTTTTATTGTTATTATTATTATTATTATTATTATTATCATTACTACTGTTATTATTATTATTGTCAGTATTATTATAATTATCACTGTCAGTATCATTATTCTAATCATAATTATCATTTCAAACTTTTCGCATTATTTTTATTGCTATTGTTGCTATTATCAATCATTCATACTTTTTCAGATAATCAATTATTGTTATTAGAAAACTTTCGTATTATTTTTATTGCTATTCTTGCTATTATCAATCATTCATACTTTTTCAGATAATCAATTATTATTAGTTATTACTCTTAATATAATAATAGCACTATCAAAATAATGGCATGATCTTTATCATTGTTCTAGATGTTGCAATCATTTTAATTCAAAATCATAATGCTCCTGCACAGTGAATACCGTATTGCTTAAAAAGCTTGCAACAGAAGGTAAAATGTGCTATAGTAAAATACTGGTCTTATGTTTCCCTATGTTGGCTTTTTATCTTTCATCTTGGATCTGTAAAACAACCACTATTAGTAAGGACGATTGTATATACCAATAACAGGAATTATATGTATCTATGTTACTTAGGGATGCTATTGTATTCCTTTTAAGTTTCCGACCGAGAACCTGCAGCTCTGGTTTTACTCTCCCGTGCAGGTATAGGAATAAGCCATTGATATATATTGTAATAAGTCTAAGTTTCCTTTCAACTATGAGGAAAAATCTTGTCTTTATTTCTTGGGATTAATAATACTTGTAATGCAACTTTCTGTATCAATATATGATTAAATCAACCTCTGCCAACTGTGGTTTATTCCAGCTAGATTACTTTAAGTGAAACCTTTTCTAACACACACAAAACTTATTTAAAACCAACCATGATCTTCAAATTTCAGAAAACTTCACTGGAGTAACAAGAAAGGGGTTATAGAAAAAAACAGTAAAAAATAAGAAATATTTATTACTATCATTCTTGATGTGCACAAATTTTAAACAATGTTATTCTTTAAACATCATAAAAATACTTTTCAGCATCAAATGCCTGATGCAATTCATAAAGGAATGTAGTCAAAATACTTTTCCAACAATACATCTTTGCTCTAAGTACTATATATAAAAAAAATGGTTGCAACATACATACACCACAAATATGTTCTTCGTATAAAATGGAGGGAGTGAGTGTTATATTCCAGCACTGTAACATACTACCATTCTTCCACTGACCATAATCTTCACAAAACATGATGCTATGAAGTCAAATCCCAAATGCCAAATCTAATTGTTCAAGTCAATTCGAAACGAGAGAGAAACAGCAAGCCAGATGACTCCACTAGTACAAGATGAAATGACTAACTCTGTTAAAATACCACGAATCTCCATACAGATCTGCAATTATTTCATGCATAAATATGTACATTTTCTATATTACCTAAAAACATCTGGCCCCTATTGTATCAGCAGATCAAAATTACTTTATGGTTTCCAGATAAGAGAGAAAATAAAAATACAACGTAACATGCCAACATGAGGAATGCCCTTTTAATACTTGGTCTGTTTCCGGCCTCTCGCTGAACTACGAGACCCGAACCGATGCCCTGGTTCTTTGTCTGTTGAAATACTGATATCTTAAGAGATTCTTGCTTCTATTAAAATCAATCTTAATATTATAATACACTGTATTACCTTAAAAGGTGTTAGTCACATGTGAAATCATACTGCGGAATTACACAAGACAGAGATTAAATATACAACATATAACCGGTATGCAATACACTTGACAGTTGTCGCCTGGAGTAAAACTAATGCCATCTTCTCTTACAATTTCCCTCTACACCACATTATGAGAGCTGAATTATTTTGCATACTGCCTATGCTGTTAAAATGAGCAACAATACATTTTTGTGGGAGAAAGAAAGGAAGAAAAAAATAGAGGAAAAGAAAAAAAAGGAAAGAGAGAGGGAGAGAGAAGGGGGGTGGGGGGGCAAGGCACTGTATAGTGTCATGCATACTGTTGCAATAGCAAAATCATTTTTGGTAATATCTTTGTAAGATAAATCATAAGTTACTTATGCACAGAACACACTCAGATTCATACTTGCTTTTAAAGTACAACTGAAAATAAGCACCAAAAGAAACCACACTAGTGTATCTAATGAAAAATGTGAACATGGTGTGAAAATTATCTTGACTTTGCTGTAAAGGGCTTGAGACCATGTTTGTAAACAGCATTTTTGAGCACTGCAACTTCTAAACTTCAGTCTAACAAATGGAGAATTTATGATGTCTTGCAGTAATCACAATACATCAGATGTACAAATCTTAATAGCTGACAAGTGTCACAGTCAAGACACTTGACTTTGATATCTACACCATTATTGCAATATATGTTTTCTGTATTAATTGGATAATGATAATAATAATAATAATAATAATGAATACAATTACAATAACAAAATAATGCTGAAATATCTGGAAAAATAATCACCATCTCTAAAGATAAGCTGCAAAGTGAAATAACAAAACAGGTCAGATCAATCACAGTTTCTCACATCACTAAATCACTCTACAAAAACAACAATTTTGGATCTTGCTAAATAAATACACTTAAATATCAAGGCCTATCTATTCATGTATTGCATGGAGACCACCTACTGTGCATAAAGGTTATGGGTGTTGGCTGTTATCACTTTATTTAAGCTTATAGGTAATTTTGATGCATTTTTACAAAAATACAAACTACTTCTATATATCTTATACTAGTTGTGTTCAGTTATCACATGTGAATTTCTCTAGACGGATATTATTGTGGACGGATTCATTTGATAATACTTATGAGAAACTGCAACACATGAATGACATATAAAAGACATTTACCTAACCTAGCTCTAACAAAGAGGAGGAGGAGGAGGAGGAGGAAAAAGAAGAAGAAGAAGATGTAAATTATATCTACAACTGTATTTCAATTCATAATTCTTTCATTAAGATTTTTTTCTGAAAACATTTCATCCTTATAATAAGTATCAGTAAGTAAATATCACCGAATACATAACCTCAAATATGGCTTACTAATAAACCTTTAACTATATCTAGCCTTTGATCCTTACCCTTCCCAATGCAACTCAAACAAAGTAAAAGTTGATATCATTCAATTGTTTCAATGACCTACTAATGACTACTTTATATCCTAAAACAGACAAATATATACATAAAAAACAAATTTTATCAGAAATCAAAAGCTTTAAATCTGATATAAATATTTCAGAATATCACATCCAGCTTTAAACTCCAAGTCGGAATGATTGAAGCTTATTCTGTTAAAAGGCAAGTGCACTTTCATGCAACCTTCAATACACTATGAACAAGGTCTCAACAACCAATGTGGTTTTATAATTTGCCATTAACATCATTCCTCCTAATCAGAAGATGATTGAGAAAGTGAAGAATGCTTTGGTATTTTATAAGTACTTAAATATTTTGAAGATTATGAAAAGCAGCTCTTTAGAATGGTCATAAGCATGCTGAAACACAGAAATGCTTTTAATTTATCTAACAGTAAAAAAAAATCATATTGCATTTTAAGAGTTTGCTTGCTGTAAGAGAAAAGAACATTTAAATGAAACAAGATGCTATCGCCTGCCTTTATGAATAAATATAGCTTACCATATTAAAACTCACCGATTACTTTAATTTACATAATCTGCTTACGTTTAGCAAAATAACATTAATTAAAAATCTCTCAAGCATGGTTATAAAACCAAAAACAAAAATGTCACTTCAAATTTCTCTATCAGCAATTCCTTTTCTTTATATACATTTACATACACACACACACACACACACCAGGGGTGCTATTTACAAGTAAAAAATGTCTGTTATTTGACTTACTTTCAAAGACACAAACCACTTCGCAAACCTAAAGTCTGTTTGCACCTTGAAAAATATGTTAGTTCTAAGTTTATAGTTTGTCACAATTTCCCACTTGACTTGCAATCTGTAAAAAACTTAGTTTTCTTCTACTTTAATCTTCGTTGTTGAGAGATATGGTGCTAACACTTGTGATAAAATCAAACTATTTTGGTGAATTTTCCTGTTGCATGGCAAGATTAAATATTTTCTTACTATTAAGTATATAGAAGAAGCTTCACAAATTGCACACAATATTAACAAAATCCTACCCTTTCAAAAGTGCCATAAAAAAAAGCTTGCACCCATCAGACTTTTCTCCACCTCCTATGTTTGTTTAGTGGAATGCAATATAGTACTTTCCACTCTGCTGGTATGTACATCCATTCCACCTCCTCTTCCCTTTGTGTGTATATTCTCATCTATAAATCCTACATAACAGGACCGCGGGGGAAGTCCCTCTTTGCATTTTCTCATTAATGCAATAAACTTCCAGGCCTATCCCCTTAAATAACCTTCTCTGATCTGTTTACCTTTTTATAAAACATTCCACAAAACACACACATCTTTCTTCCTTTATCTATGTATAATAAAGCAAATGACAATATCAACCATATTTGTGTTTTTACCCTTAAAAAAAATCATTCTGGTATGAACATGGTTCATTGTGATAAATATTAAAAAAAAAGGTACCATTAAGAACAAACAATTTTACAGTAAAAAAAGATGTACTTGATCTATTTCAACTGAATCTTCATCAGAAATGTGCACTTATGGCATTTTAATCAAACTCTGTAAAACATACATATACATATATATATATATATCTTGTGCCATGAAATTACTCACACTCATTCATACATTTACATTTAGGAAGATGAGCAAGATGTATTGCTTAAAACATTGGCACAGGTTTCCCTCACAAATGGGAAGTAATTGTGACACCAATTTTTTTTTCCCTTTTCTTCTCTATTTGAAAAATAAGTAATGGACGGGGCAAGTTTGAGCTGGCTCGTCTTCCACACTGGCATGGCGAGAAGATAACCGTCAACATCTCTATCTCAAAGTAATGACATATGCACTGACACCACGAGAAAGTTTGGATAGTGTTGTGTACGGTGAAGTAGCATTGAAATAGTAACTACATCCAAATCAATGCAACTGAAAGCCTTACCAACACAAGGAAAAAATTGTCATTAATGTTATTAATTAATTAAACCCACTACAGAAGGGGCCCCATGCACCAGCATCATAACAAACCACTTGGTCTGCAGGGTATGCCTGTATGTACGATGACGCGTTAAAGTGCATGGAGCTGGATGTTCCGCTTGCTGTGGCAGACTCCAGAGTTTATCATGCTCAGGGATTTCTGTTACCCAGCAATGATGGGTTGATTAATTAATCAGTTAATCAGAAACATTAATGATAATGAAAAAAAAAGAGAGAAATCATGCATTTATACAAGAGTCATTATCACTCACTGAGCTCTGTAAAAAATAAAAAATAAAATAAAAATAAAAATAAAATAAAATGCAAATGCAAATACAGCATTGTTAAAGCTTCAAGAAAAAACCTACAAACTTTCTCAAACTTAACCAACATCCCTCATTTAAAAAGTCCCAAGTTCTCTCAAATCCTCACGCAGGACTTCGTCAATCGAAAACTTTTTTTAACTGCCTCAGGGGACGACATTAGCCCACGATTAACCTCCCTATGGCCGTTACCACTCCTATGGATGCGACGGACACGAGGGGAATGTTCGGCATGGTATAGGGAGCAGGGTTGCAGCCGTCCTTGTCATTGCAAGTGCAGTATTCCATGTGGATGTTGAAGGTCCCGGTGCGGTAGATGCAATAGCGCGAGTCGCCTCCCACTCCGGGCTCCCCTAGACGGGCGCAGTCTCTCTTATAGCGCCAGTGGCCATTGACTGTCAGGAAAGAAAAGGAATGAGTAAAATAAATATAATAACCATTAATATATATAATATGCAAAAACAAATAGAAAAAGAAAAGAAAAGAAAAA